CCAATAATGTTAATGATTAATTTTTCTCTCACCTTTAATATCAAATTTAACATTTATGTCCACCAAATTGCAAATACAAGTAAAAGAAAATCAAAGAAAAAGGAAAAGAAAAGGAAAAGGAAAAAAGAATGGAGGAAGACTATAACACGTTAACACATCGCTAAATTACATCCACTCGTGGATACTAGAGAGTTAGAGTAAGTCAAAGTGATACTAGTATCATTTCTTGGATAATGATACTATGATCAAGGAATTTTTTTCTTTTCTTAGAGTAAGTGATACTAGTATAATTTCTTGGATATTGATACTGTGACCAATGATTTTTTTTTATTGATCATGTACACTTGGAATTGTTGCCTGTGGGATTCATAAGATATTTAGAACGGTTAAATCTATTAGACTTGTAACAACAATATTATCAAAAATTAATTATGTACTCTAGAAAGTTATCCTTGATCAAGAGTTGTACTACTCCTCCGTCAGTCCCGGTGAATGTGATTGGGGGAGTAAATTTTATTGATGGTCGGAACAACAATCGTTAAAAATTAATAAATATACTCTACTCACTACTCTACTCCTCTGTCCCAATAGTCTAGTCAATCGGGTTGGATATTAATTTCTATTGATGGTTCGACTGGGATTTAATGATAACAATAATGATATAGGACGAAAGTTGAAGTATTCATCTATCTTATTATTAATATTATTATTGCTATCCCCTTTACACTTCTTCATGAAAGCAAAAAGCAATTGACACTAGGTTTACAACGACGTGCCAAAACGAAAAATATATGAATTCTGCAGAACTGACACACACACTGACACGTGGCTCTCTGCTACTTAGGTAGGAAATTTCATTGAAAAAAAAACAATCCCCTTCAAAAAAAGAAAGAAAGAAAGAAAGATAACTACATTTAAATCCATTTTAAGGATTTACATTCCTCTCAACTGAACACTGATGAATTTCGCATTGGAAGCTTATTCAAATACCTGTGCTGATTCAAATACATATGCATTTTCGACCATCAGTTATATTCAAAGTGTAAGGAATCAATCAACATTTATTTTAAAAATCATCAAAATCAGCATTCATATTTTTATGAAACCATTAAATTAAATTTGATATTATGCATATAGGAGTAGGGAAAAAACACTAGTGAGCCACCATCATCAAATCACAGAAAAACCACCAAAAACACACATTTTGTTGGAGTCAATCTGGAAAATGTATACGAAAAAATCAGAAAAAAATCAAATCGCTGGAACTCATATTCATTGATGTCACTTTTAATTGTTAAACTCTTATGGAATGTATATAAACCATTTAGTGTCTTTTATAGTAACTTATTTATGGAATGTAAGGTGGAAAAATTCAGAACGCCATCCAAAAATCTTTTACGGACACTTTTATTAATCAACACCAAGAAGGTTGTGTTCGTCAAATCTCATGTTGTGAACATTATTGGACACATTAGTGACCCAATGAAAAACATTGATGGAACAAGAAGAAAATGTGAAGATGGAAACCTAATTAGTTTATTATATAAGTAATTTGTTTTACACATGTAGACATGTTTAATTTACAATTTCAAATGATCATAAAATAATTTCGAGCAAATTTCTAATCTTTGCTTTTACTTATATAAACATATTCATATTTAACAAACAAATTTAATGAATGGAAGTAAGCTTGTTTTGGTCGGAATTTTGTTGGTTTGGTGTTTGTTGGGAGGAGTCTTTGGTGGGAGGTGGGAGGAGAGGAAGGAAGTAGGAGGAGAGGAGCAAGCAAGTCTTTAGCTCATAATCGTATTTATTTGTGTATTTTGTTTGGTACTCTCGGAAGGTATTTTGTTTGTTAATGGTTGGGCTTCTTTGTTATGTTAAGCTTAAGTTAAGGTTACTAAAGAGCTTGGTTTTTGTTTAGAGTCAAGAGTTAGAGTTAGAGTTAGAGTTAGAGGTAGAATTAGATTACTCAAGTACTATAGTCAAGGTTCCTAGAAATGCCATAGAAGAGGTGCATAAGCTAGCTTATCACCTAACTCATGTAATTGTAGCGTCGTGAAATTAATGAAGAGCTTCTCTTTGTTTCAAAAACAAAAAAACATTACTCAAGTAAGTCAAGTGTGTGAAAATGTGTTTAGTGTGAGAATGTAATGTAATTGGTAATCCTAAGAAAGGACTACATCATTATTGGGAGTTTGGGTGGGGTTAGTGTTTGTAAACATGTAGTCAAACTAATGTAGTCTTTTTCTTCAATTTTTATTCAACCTACCTTCTCTCATTCTCTATCCAAGTACCAACATAAGAAACGTTGAACCAAGAGAGAGTTTTAGTTTGTCCACATCTTATTTAGAGTAAAGGCCACTCTTCTGGAGTAAAGGCAGATTTGTAATCAAGCAAAGATGAAATTCTAAATAAACTCCCGTTATTATTGAAAATATATGGTTGTGACACCCCAACCAAGTACCAACCAAGAAACGACCAAGAAATCTCAAACTAAGAGAGAGTTTAGTTTGCCCACATTTTATTTAGTTCTTTGTAACAACTAACAAGGACTAATCTGCCAAAAATATATGGAGTAAAGGCAGATTTGTAATCAAGCAAAGATGAAATTCTACTAAATAAACTCCCTTCATTGACTTGAAAATATATGGTTGTGAGCTTACCCAAGGACCAACCAAGAAACCCAGAACCAAGAGAGAGTTTAGTTTGTCCTTCTTTGTCCACATCTTAATTAGTTCTTTGTAATAAGTTAGACTAATCTCCCAACTTCATCACTGAATTCCATAAATTCGAGTGAAGGTGCTAAATAAACTTCGGAAAGTTTCTACAGGAAACAATCACGCAATCACATATGCACTCTCACCACACCCATCCCGAATTTTCTCCACATCAACACTTGAGCAAACTAAAACACAGAATTGTATGTTGTTCTTTTTTTTTTTTTTTTGAGAAGGAACTGAAAAAGTTTCATTTCAATTCCTGATCGAGTACACCAGTTGTACACTAGAAATGTATGTTGTTCTTCCACTATACAGTTTGGCTTTCCTTTCATTTAAAAACAAGAACAGAATTAAACTCAACTATTTAATTCATTCATTGATTCATTCACAATCCAAATTATTTGAATTTCACGGTTCATCGTTTTCTCTTGCTTTTTTCACATCCCCTCTTTTTTCTTTTTCTAAAAAAATAATAGTTGGCATTACATACTCTCTCCTATACTCTCTCTATAATAATTCTAGGTTATCTCCTAGGATATAACTAAATTATTCTTGATCTAACAAAACAAACTCTGATGTTATGCTTATAAGCAATTAATAACAATATAATATGCATTTTCTTTATTATTAATAAAATAAATTCTTTCTTCTAATACAAACAAATCAAATAAATCAATGACTATTTTGATGAAACTTCCTCTAATCCAAACAAAATAAATAATTTTGTAAGGAATCATATTAAAATTAATATTAATAATTTCTTAAATTTTTTTATTCTTCTTCATTTGATTCTTATTATCCTTCTTGAACTAATCCCTCTCTCTATTTTGAATGTTACAGTTGAGCTCAAACACAGCTGAATAATGCATTGGAAACTTATTCGCGTGCTGATTCAAATATAGATGCATTTTCGACCATCATTTATATTCAAAGTGTAAGGAATCAATCAACATGTATTTTAAAAATCACCAGAATCAGAATTCATATTTTTATCAAACCATTAAATTAAAATTTGATATTATGCATATAGAAGCAAGGAAAAACCACCAGTGAGCCACCATCATCAAATCACGCAAAAACCACCAAAAGCCCACACTTTGTTGGAGTCAATCTAGAAAGATATATATGAAAAAATCAGAAAGAAATCAAATCGGTGAAACTCATATTCATTGATGCCTTATGCCTAATTAAATAATAATGTTCCTGCTGGACTGATTTTGACAAACCTGGTCCACACGACTTGGGCCGATCACAGCAACAAGTTTATGGGCGAAAAGACCAACAAGCCCGCATAGAAATAATGCATCCAAAGAAGAGGCGGTGATCGACAGCTTCAATTGGAGAAGGTGTCATCGACATCATAATCCCAGTCGGAGAAGGATTCCAGCTGCAACAAGAATTCTTATCCAATTCAACTTTGGTTTCACTACAACTAGGTTTGGCGGAAAAGGGGTATCTGCAAGAGAAGACACGATACACACACAATTCATCATACAAAAAATCAGATATCTAGTTTTTTTTATAGCTTTTCCGCCATTTATTTTCTTTAAGCTTTCTTGCATTTCTTTACATTTGGTATCAATTAGCATTAGTTTACATACGTTTCAGGCTTGCTATAGCCAATACGTTTTCTTTTAGATCAAATAAAACAGGCTCTTGCAGCCGTTTTGTTCAGATTTTCAGAGTTCTCTTATTGCGATATTGAAGAAGTTATTTTTTCTTTCATTCGTTCGGTCTTGAAAGCCTTGACATTTTGCGGCAAATATAGCGTTTGAACTCCACTATCTGAGAATATAACACAATTGCTTGAAATTAGTTTGAGCCGAATCGAGTCTCACTTTCAAACACAATTTTGACTCAAACATAAAATTTTGCACGCCCCATGGGACCGATTTGTGTGTTCCAGATGTTATACAAGAAAAAGAATGATTTCAATGGCTCAATCATCAACAACTACATATTCGGTGGGACAGATGTCAACACCGATTCAAACTTCTGCGTTAAGTGGAGGATCTGGATACTTCTATTCGTGTTTCGGCAATCAAGTCAAGGTCAACAGTGATACATGATCAAGCAATTGGCTTAGAGCGATTGTCCAATCAGCAAAGATCTAACATGTACAACAACGGAGTAGGCCTTTTCGGTGAAAGGTTTAGTTTTCTTGGATCTTTTAGGAATCTAGGGTTCCAGAATCCAAGATTTCATAGTCCCTTGTTTCAAACTCCAGTGTTTCATAGTCAAGGATAGTCAAACCAAACACCACCACTAACACCAGAAATGACGCAGCAAAGGTTCAAAGCATTGGAACATCAGTTGGCATCATATGCTACTATGACAGCACGTTTGGAGCAAGCATTACATGCTGCAAGTCAGCAAAATGCAGGTTTGGATGCAGATAATTCTGGTTGCAATGGATTAACGCTTACGGGTAATGGTACAGTCATGGATACGAAACATTTGGAAGTTCCTCATTAACATGGTTAATAATCCATTGTATAATGCCATATTTCAACATCTATTCCTATGCATCTATTCCTATGCAACACAGCGGAAGTGGACTGAACAATAATACACCACAGATTGCAGGGAATACCATGGGACATGGACTGCAAAGTTGGTATTATTCTGTAATCCCGATTCAACCAGCATTTACTCCACCTCCTAGAAATTTCACATTCGACGGGGTGTCAGTTACCTTCGCTATCTGCTTAATTCAGTGGACAATCAATGGTTTATGGAACACCAGTGAGGTAAAACATACCACAGCCAAACTATCATGTGTCTTGGCCGGTTGGTCCAGAAGCGCAACATATGGTGACTGCAACAGGAAATGATGTCATAAGGAATATGCACCTACTAAATCAGTTTCAGCAACAAAATACTGTATCCCAAGTCCCTACATTTCATACGCAATTCCAGGAAGGACCAGCTATGATACCACCGATCATTGGGCAAAAGAATGTTCCCCGAATTGAACAGGGTGCACAAGGAAATCAAGGGATTTTCCCACAAGGTCCTACTGGTTCAGGGACAAATTAAGGTCTTTTTATTGAAACGGTGGAGCGAATAGGACAGAATGTTCAGGGTAATAATTATCGCCGTTTCATTTTGTATCAAAATCGTGCTACGCGGCCAACGTCAGGAGGTAATATGGCTGGTAGCGATGTCATTGATCCACATATACCTTAGGGGTTAGGCGTGGTGGTTACTAATCTGAAAGTCGTTCCACCACATCCAACATTGGAGAAAAATCGGGAGGAGCAACAGTGGGTGGAATACGAAGCAAATCAGATTTTGAACCGAAACAGAGCACAGGCTAATGGTCGTCCCTATGGAAACCCACCCCCCCGGTTGCAAATCTCAACCGACAACATGGACAGCAACCAAGGCCTCTTGGTCAAAGGGGTGGAGTTATCGGGTAGATCTTGGAAATGAGTTTCGTCAAGAACAGGATGCAACAATATATGCCAATCAGAATGAAGCCAGAGATCACCGTTTGTTTGTATGGCAACACATTGGTCCACCTGCTTCGCAAAGGACTGCTACATCAAGAGTGGTGAAGACGCCGACGGTCAATGATGAAAGTTGGCACCATGTCGTACATCCGAAATTCCCTAGTCAAACACCAACAGGGCCAAAGATGACTAGAACTCAGAAACGTCGTTGGCAACGAGTACTGAATAAGAGAAGTAGAGAAAACAGTGAAAAGGAAGATAAATCTGTTGCACCGATGGGGAATACTAAGGAAGATATGTCATTAGTTGTTTTTGCAGGTCAAGATAATTGATGCTCGGTGTTATGGGAAAGGTATGACACATATTTCTCATCAGTAAACATGGTTTATATGTTGCCAAAGTCTTTTTACCCGCAGGTGCCATCATCTTTGAGAGTTATGGTTCCAGAAAAGCTCAAAGGTCATCTTACTATGCAAGAAGCGGCTTCATTTATAACGGAACCATATGATACTACAGTCGATGGAATCCAAGTATTGCCACAGGAAGGGAAGAGTTCTGTTATTATGCTTTCACAACCTACAGAAGATACTATGTCCCATATTCGGCCTTTGCATATCTGTGCAGTCATGGATGGAGTTCCGTTAACAAGAGTATTGATAGACAATGGAGCAACCATTAATATTTTGCCGTCAAAAGCATTGCACAAATTAGGCAAGCAGTTAAGTGATTTGGTACCAACTGAGATTTTCGCGAGTGGTTTCACAGGAGACGTTACTAGTGCCAAGGGGCTTCTTCCATTACAAGTTGAAGTAGGATCTCAGTCAGTCGTATTAGCGTTCTTTGTTGTTGATACCAAAGCATCTTACAATGCGCTACTTGGGCGAGATTGGATACATTCAGCAAGATGCGTTCCTTCTTCCTTGCCTCAAGCGATTATTTTATGGGGAGCCGGAGGTCCAGAGATTATTGCAGCTGACACAAGTCCTTTAAGTGCAGAAGCAAATGTTGTAGAAGTATATTACTACGACAAAGAAGTGGGTCCTTACCGACTGATCTGGTTGGACAAGTATGGTCGACCCACACAGGCCACGATGCGTAGGGACATGAATCTTCCTAAATGGAAGTTGATTTGGCAAGAAGTCAATAGGCCACATAATTACAACGTGTTAAGGTCGTTGCCAACTGCTCCATCTATCGAAGAAGTTTCCAACGATGACCACTGAACTGTTTGAAAGATTGAGTGTTGACGATCTGGTTTCCGAGTTAGTAAAGGCACAAAGGAACAAGAGATGATTCGGCTACTATTGCAACATTTGGAGAACGAGCGCCACTAGAGAAACTCCTACTGTTTGTTGGGATGATATAATATATGATGTTGATCCAAAATCTGACTGTGGAGTTATTGACCTGAATGAATTAGCAACTACAACACCTAAATTGAGTGACGATGTAGTGGTTACCAAAGAACCGGTGGAAGCAGTCAATTTAGGATCATCAGGCGAAGATAAACCGATTTATATTATTATCTCTCTATCTTTTCATAATGGAAAGATGGGGAAAAATATTGAGATTTTTTTCCGAGTTGTAAGGGTTGAGAGGAAGGGGTTGAAACTTGAGAGACAGCCGCGGAGGGAGTTATCAAAAGACTTAAAATTATTGGTTTAAGATACTATGATGTCCAACATGTGTCGATTGTTTAATAACATCCCTTATTGGTTAAAATTATTCACTGAAAAGATGTTTCATATAATGTTTGATAACTATAAGCGAATTTCTGAATGGATTAAATGGTATTAAAAATGTAATATAAAAATATAAGTAATATAATTCTTTTTTCAACTTTTAGAATTAAGCATAAGTTTTATCAAATTGTTCCTAAAATGTGGTACTATACTTTTGGTTAAGCACTGTTGAAACTGAAATAAAAAATTTAATCCAAAAAATCTAGTTTAATGCTTAATACATATCATTCTCTTCAAGCTTTATTTCATGATTTATTATTGATTTTTAAAATCACATATGATAATGTTATTGTTCAATATACTAATTAATTATGTAGCAATTATTTTCCAAACAAATCAAATGGTTCATTTCTCTAAATTTTTTAATTTTATTTCGTAGATGTACGTTGTAATTGACTTAATTTTCTTTATTGGCAAAGATCCGATAATGTTCCAGTTGATTTGCAACTTTTCCAAGATAAAGTGATTTCGTAGTTTATATTTTTTTAATGAATAATTTATAATTTATGATTTGAAGAAAATATTCGTAATGTAATTATTGGTAAACTGTATGAAATATCAAATTGGTACAATCAAATGAAGTCAACGTTCAGATGAGCATATTTATCAAACAATAATGAAGATTTTATTATTTTTTGAGTCCACCGTCAGTACAATCAAATGAAGTCAACATTCAAATGAGCATATTTACCAAACAACAATGGAGATTTTCATTTTTTTTTTGAATCAATCATCTCCGTCGACAATAGTGATTAATCCTTATCACTTATGTAGGCACCCATCGATTTAACATTTCTATTTTACCATTCAACTTTTAGAATTAATCACTAATTTTTATCAGGCAGACCTTCAGGACTTTTAATGTAGCTTAATACTAAAAAAATTATTAATTTAAAAGATTTTTCTATTAAGTATATTTTATTGTAAAATATCCAATCACTTATTTAATTAAGCTCTAAATAATAGTATAACTTTAAGCTAAAAAATCTCGCTTAATGCTTGTTTTTCAATGACCTAAAGACATAAAAAAGAATGAGAAAACACGGGAGTAAAAAGATATGGATTTTTTTTATATTCATATCAGGTCATTTATTGTTTCACATAGATTTGTCCAATTTTTAGAACTTTAGGACATAATTAATAACTATTTTAAAAAGTTTAGGACAAACTTAAAAATGAGTGGTGTAAAGTGTAAACATTGAGATGTCTATGCCAATATCCGCCTTTTCATTTTCAATGATTTTTAAAATTTCTTTTTTTCCCCTTTTTTCATTTTTTTTTTAAATTTTACTGAAGAAGCATTTTCAGACTTCTGTGATTACTTAAAAAGAACGATTTTTGAACTTTTGATTCGCTCCCAAATTTCCCTCTTCTTCCCGGTTCTTCTTATTCCCCCTATTCTTCCTCTTCAGATTGAATTAATTATCCAAAGCCCCATCGGCATGACACATTAGTCTTGAGGGATTTGGTCCATATGCCCTAAAAATATCCTACCCTTCCGCTGCAATTATTTATTCTCTCTTCAAGTTTCCTCTCAGCTGCGAGTAAAATCAAGAAGAATCCATGGAAGCTATCCTGACTGATTGTGTGCAGAACAGCCTCCGGCAGTTCATGCATCACAACGCCATTTTCATGTGCGAACGCCTCTGCGCGGAGTTCCCCTCTGAGGTATTTCGCAATTTCCACATTCCAAATCAGTTGAGTCTGGTTTTTCTTTTTTTTTTTTTGGTATTTTTATGAACGCTATACTTTGATGTTTTTGCTTGAGCAAGAAAAATGCTAAGGTCCAACGAATTTCGCTGTGTTTGCCTTTTTCGACAGGCGGTCTGTAGGTCTTCTAGTTATTGCATTTTGTAATCATTTCGTGTGTTGAATTTTTGATTATATAGAGCCACATTAAAACCAGTTTCGATCATGTTGGAGTATGGTGTTGGTAATGGATGTGGACAAATGAGTGTCAAAATTCTTGGAAGCTAGATAGATGAGAAGGATGTGGGGAAGTTAGATAAGTGAGATTGATAGCGACCATATTCACAGGCATTGGATAGTGACAGGAGTGGCTAGTTATAGTGACTTTGAGCGCTGTTATGGTGTTTAGAATAATTGGTTAAAGGTGGAACTTGTTCAGAGTATGAGAGTTTATATAGTCATAGAAGGAGTCAGTCTTGAGATTCCCAAAGTACTCGATTATGATTGAAAATTGCATCGCCCAAGTGCTACAAAAGAGTGTTTTGATTGTAAAGGGCTTTTTGTTGACCAAAAATATCTGAGTTGTAAAGAAAATTTGAAGAAATCTTGGTCCTATCCATATTGGTCTTTTACAGAATACTAAATACAAAAAATGTCTATCTTGCAGATTGTTTGAAAATCACAGAAAATTTTGATATTTTGCAAATTTAAAAAACTAGCTATTGCTTGAGTAGTAACTGAAATGCCCATGAATGTTGTTGGAGTCATCAGTCAAGCACTCAAGCTTCTTTTCACTGCCTTTTTACGTATGGTGATTGTTTCCAAGAATCCTTAATGTGGCAGAATTCGATCCTTGGCATTGATTCTTTTTGACTTTTGATCTTCATCTTCGTGTATGATGTTCTCATTTAAATCTTCTTTTTTTTTTCTCTTACGCAGATCAATTTGCAGTTATTAGCTGTCTGTTACTTGCAAAGTAATCAGGCTTATTCTGCTTATCATGTCTTAAAAGGTATAAGTAACAGATTCTTCTGTTCTCATGATGAAGATGGTAATTCTATCATGTACATTTGATAAGTGGTATTTCCATATAATTATGTTGCCCTTACTGTTTGTACTTAATAACTTCTGAAGGACAAAACATGGCTCAGTCTCGGTACTTGTTTGCACTATCGTGTTTTAAGATGGATCTTCTCTATGAAGCAGAAAAGGCACTGTACCCACCAAATGAGCCGACTGCAGAGGTAACTGCTTGTTGGGAGTTAGGTACATCATTCTAGCTATGCTTGGTGAATGTCCATATGCATGTATGAGTATGTGAATACTTCTTTGTTGGTTTGCTTTATATTGAAGTGTGATGGACAAGTTCAGATCCCCTTGGAAAATTTAGCATAACATATTTGTGCATAAACATGAGTCTATGTATACCTAGATAACAATAAAAAACTATCTTGCACAAGTGAGGGGTTTAGTGTACGTCACTGCTGGATATTTCACCAAAGAAAAAGCTCCTAGGATTCTGATGTTTATAAATTACAAATGTCTACTTGGGGCTGTATGACTGGCTCTGAACTATAAAAGTACCATGAATTTCAGAGATTTGATCAGTTGGTTGCTAGATTGTAGAAGAGAACTTCTAAATGTATGCTTGAAAAAATTGGTCGCGTCTACGGATGTTTTGGTGAATGTTTTGTCTGCAAATTAGGAGGAAGGAATTTCCAGAATTTGTAGGACAGTATTTTGAGGTTTTTCTCGCTTAACTGAACCCATCTGCTGTTGTCAAATTATAATTAGTCAGTATTCATGTTACTTTGAAAAATGCCAATGTAAGATGCATGGAGGTTTTGTATTTAATTTTCGGTAAAAGTCATTTGAAAATCTAGTTTGGTCCAAATCTTGCAAAAAGTATGCATAGAAACAAGAATGAAATTACCTGAAAGTAGGCATACAGTTGAAGTGTCGGTAGAGTTTTTCTTACAGATCTTTGATTTTAAGGGAACTGGTCCGTAGTAAATATTAACCTTATCACTTTTGTTACACATTGTTTTATAGAGCTGAAGGTGTTATTCCATTTGTTCCGCAGGTTCCAAATGGTGCTGCTGGTCATTACCTTCTGGGACTTATTTATAGGTACATACTAATTCATTTGGGTTTTTTATTTTTTATTTTTTTATTTTTTTTGGGATGCGTGGCTGTTGTAAGAGCTAAATACCACCAGTATATGATGGGTTTAATCATTGATTTTGGGGTTCTTGTTTGCAGCATTTGTTTACTGAAAATTAATAAGTTATTTCTTTGGAAGTTTCCTCATAGAATTTACTACCTTATTTGTAAAACTATTGGCAAGGACTACAAAGGAAATCCTGTTACACATTTGTCCTGCAATAAAAGATATGCCACAATACAATCTACCAATTTCTCTGATTAAGTGGTAGCAGCATGATGTTGTTCCACTTAATGGAAGACTTTTGGCATATAGGATAACGAAAATGTAGATCCGTTGCATTGCCCTTTGCATGATAACTCACCCCTAACTTGATTTGAAATATTCAATACATCCTGACAAATGAAATTAGTAATAGTACATTTTTTTTATTTCTTATGTTTTGTTTATGTTATTTGGTGGTTATTATCTATAAAACTGAAGATGAAAAAACTGTCCCTAGAACTTAATAAAAGAAAACAGACATTCATGATAATCTTTTAGGAAAAAAGTTGGTTGACAAGAATAGCAGCTCAAGCTAGGACTAAAAATAAAGAGTAAAAGCTTGTCGGGAAACATAATTTTCTTTAGAGAATACGGGACATCAAAGGAAAAAAAAAAGGTATAAGTTATTAGATAACTTAACAAAAATGCGAAAAAAAGACATGTGGAGACAGTTAATAGAATGGAACCGAATTTGTTAGCAATTGGGTTTAGAGATAAGTTGTTATCACTCATTTTAAGCAACGGTCATTCTTGCTTTTGTAATTAACTTGATTTGTTAAGATATTCAATGTTAGTTTTTCTCATGCACCTAATTGATTAAGTCATTATTCACTAAACCACTGATCTATACTTACAAACTAGCTAACAAGTTAGTTGATGAAGTACTTGATCTCTTAAGTGCTTAGTTAATCTACCAAACAAAGATCAAGGTTGTCTCTCGTCGGTAGAATTACAGTGTTTGGGAAGATTATTTGTATTTTGCTTTTTTTAGTTGATGGAGAATTCTGGTACAGTTATGAAGCATTCAAACAGTGTCTTTCAGTTTCTAGGTCTGGTGCTATATGCTGCAATTCATGGGTTTCCTAAAAATGCCTCACTGGAAATGTGGGTCAATTAACATATTGTAGGCTGGCCAAAACTTGAAACATGCCCAGTCGCAACCTCAAAACTTAAGAATCTATTGTATTCTTAAAGTCAAGTGAGATCCTGTTATAGAATGTCATGTGTCATGGGGGTTTACATGTAAATCAATGTTATCAACATAGATCTCATGTATCTAACTTATTCCTTACTATTAGAAACCAGCAAATTGTTTTATTCAACTTTTTAATGACAGCAACTTTTTTTTTTCTTTTTTTTTTGAAAGGGGGTGTTCCGTCTCTTTTGCTTGATTTTCTATCTTTTTCCTTTTGAGCTAGCTAAGTTGCATGATTCCAACATTAGTTCTTATTTCTGCCTGAAAAGCCTACTTAAGTACAAATTTTGTCACTCAAGGTTCACTTCATATTCTTAATTTCAGGTATACGGACAGAAGAGAACGCGCTAGTCAACATTTCACTCAGGCTTTATCATTGGATCCTCTGCTGTGGGCTGCTTATGAGGAACTCTGCATATTAGGTTCGTAGTGGGAAATTGGTTGGCTTTGGTTTGGTTTTTTTCTCTTCACTAAAGCACAATATTTACTCTAGTTATTTAGATAAGTGTGTCAATGTGTTGGCTATCCCTCATTTGATGCCAAACATATAGAATGACTTCTCTGAAAGGTGAGTGATGCTGGAAGATGCACAAGAAGGTTTACAACGTTGATCAACAGTTAAAGACTAGAGTTTTCAATAAATACCCATTTTCAAACTAACAATTTGCTTAATCATCTAAAACAAGAAATTGCTATGTTCTCTTCTCAAACACATCTACTGAAGACCACAAATTATTGGTTTTACACTTTCTAGTGAATTCTACAATGCAAACAACCAAAACATTGTAGACTTCAAAATTTTGGAAACAAACTAACCTTTATTAATTCAGAATTCCATGAAAGCTTTTTTTTTTTTTTTTCTTGTTAGTCATTTGGCTCGTGAGACAATACCTGAAAATCCTCCTGAAGATGAAACCCAATGAGGACTTGATTATAAGCTGGAAAGTTTTGAAGTTACTCTACTGATATTTGAGGGCTTTTATTCTTTTTCTTGGTCACCATGAAGCTTCAATTGAGTTACCGATTGCATTCACTCTTTTACGTGTGACATGCTTCAATGATATGATGCTCTTGGCCTTCAGGTGTCATCTAGCCATCTAGGACAGGTGGATAAAAAGACATAACTGATACATTGGTTATGATATCCTTTGTGTAGACTGTAGATCTTCTCATTTTCAAAAGTTCAACCTTAACTTTTACGACATATAATCTTTTAAATAGCACAAATTGAAATGATGAAAGTTAATTGATTACTAAAGTTCGCAAAAAGTGTGGTAAAGGGGTCTTGAGAGTCCAAACCACTGATGAATTCTGAAAATTGATTATTAGTGTGTGTTTGTAATCTTGTCCCTAGACGCAGGAATTCAATCTATTGTGATTTCTATCTTCTGAGGACTCTAAGATCAATAATGTCTATTGGAATCTTTCTCTGTACTTTTTCTTTTAAAGTTGATGCGGGTGATTTTTGGGACTGAGTTTAGTTATGATATTCATACGTTAGGAAATCGCATGTCGAATCATAATCAAATTTGTTAATGTTTTGCAGTCTAAATAGTTTAATTTGGATAGGTAATCCAATTTCAGAGTTCTAAGTTAAATTAAATAATTCTGTAAAAGTAGTTTTCAACTATAGTTTAAGCAACTTTGAATTGGTTGTGATGCCTTAAAGGTCATTTGTTGTGGTACCTTTCTATTCAAGAGTGATTTTTTGATTTCTCAGTTCCATTTTTGATGCCTAAAAGGTCGGTCATTTGGGGTGGCACCTTAATGTTCTAAGAGTGATTCTTCCATTTCTCAGTTCTAGTTTTAGTACTTCACTTTTCTATCTTCCTAACCCAAGGATTCTAAGATCTGTTTAGTGTGAAGTTTGAACATCTTCTGTCTCTTTGGTTTGATCTCCATGTTGCATTGCTTCTCAATTTTAATTGTAATTGTTATTGTACAATTTGTATGACAAATTTTCTGTAAGCTACTATACATGATATTGTGGCTGAAATAACTGCACTCATTCTGTTGAATCTCTTCGTCTTCTTTATTAAAACTGCTTTTGGCTACACCATCATGTGTATTATTCAAAGTTATGTTTAAACATTATGTGGCAGGTGACGCAGAAGATGCTACTAGAGTTTTCGGCGATGCTGCTTCTGTTTGCGTCCAGAAACAGCACATGACCCACGAATCAGCATTGCAAAGTTTGCGATCATCCACCAATTATCAGTTTGTAAATGCGAGTAAGAACTTTGGTTCAGAAGATGTGAGTCCAAGGCCTATGAAACACATGCACAGCAATAATCAACGAGTCATCTCTGCTAACCATCATGGTCTATCTCAAACTGGAGGAACTGGCAGTCAATCTCTAAATGGTCCTAATGCCGTGTGTCTCTACAATACACCCTCTCCGATGACCACAATAACACAGGTATATGCACCCTATTCATAGTTAACAGCCTCTTTTTCCACCACAGTCAAGTGATAAAACTGTGTTTAGATTTATCGTATCTGCCCCATAGAAGTCTGATTTCTCCATGGTCTTCTAGTCCCTTTCGAGCCATTCATACCTCAACTTAAATGGAGTACTTCTCATGCTTAGTAGCAAGTCATCTACCTTGATTAAATCAACTTTCAGCTCTATCCCTGATTAAACAACCTTTTCCTATGCCACCTAATATCAGACTTTGCCATCACATTCCATCTGCACGGATCTTAGTTCGGCATTAAAACCTAAACAAAGTATAAAAAAAGAATGTGATAAAATTGCTATCTCCATGACTCCTGCTAGAGAAACGTTTGATCTCGATTTATGCTGGGTGGAAGAGCTAGCATTGACTTGGAGTTTGGTTCCCATTGATTTGATTGCATTGTGAAGTTTTTTCTTTTCAAGTTTTGCCATTTTTTAACATGAACTCCGTGAAAGGGGGAAGGAATTATGACTGGAATGCAGTTGGTGTTGCGGGGGAGAAAGGAACAATTGGGGATGAAACAATGAAGATTGTTAGGGTTTACTGGCTACTGCTAAAAAGTGATAATAGACTGGGAATTTTCATGGGTTTAAGAAGAGGACCGATGATGAAGATGATTGGGTTTATAAAAATGTGAGCCATATAAGTCGTTAAAGCTTCCAACACCATTACTCTGTTTTAATTTTTGTTACCGGAGGTCGCGTGGTTTTTTTGACATTTCTCAACTCCCCGGCATTGACATTATCCTTAGCCCTGTGAAGGGGGTTAAAGTTAGTCTTACCAGAACTGGAGGTTTGATTTTCTTTTTGGGCCAAAACACGAAGGTTTAGATCGTCCATTAAACTTTAATGGCACGTTCACTTAATTTAGTAAGTTTGTTTGTGGATTCCCACTTCCTCTTGTATCTGATGCAATACAAGCTAACTAGATCTCAGAAACTCTAGTATGGGATGAACTCAAAAAACTAGAATCTAAAGATTTAGATGGCTGAAATTTGTGATGAAAAATTGCAGATGAGATTGAAGGGTTATTTAGAAATCACTCCAAGAACATCACACTTATTGATCGTCAGGCATCACACACAAAGACAAAGTTATATCACAGAAACCTTTGAGCACATTATGATTCACCCTCTAAATCTAATGGAGATTTGGATTCTGCTTTTGCTTTCCTAACCAGTCTCAATTCCCGAAAGTTGATACTCTCCTTGTTTGACCTTAGAAACAGTAAAAAAAAAAAAAAACAAATAAGAACAAAGATTCCGGAGAATCCAGTCATGGTGGAAATCAGGTGGGTAAAATAAGGGGAATATTATATATCGGCTGTCTCTGTGCCTTTTGTGTTATGTGTTCTTTCACTTTCTCCAGTAACTTGCATTTCTTACCAAGCTTCTTAATATATTGCAGTTGTCAGGTGTTGCTCCGCCACCTCTATGTAGAGGTTTGCATATAAATGGTCCCAACCACCGTGCACTTGGTGCCGATAGTTCGCCGCGATCAACTTTAAATGCAACAATACCAGCACCAAGAAGAAAATTTGTTGATGAAGGAAAACTAAGAAAGGTAAGGAAGATCTTCTCTTCAAATGTTTCTTTGGGGACACAATTTTGTTCTCTTTACACAAAAGTTTCAATCAGGTGTGGATATGAGATATTCTATCATCATCTTGTGCTTTTCTCATCCTATTTTGGGTCAGTAGTGGATACTCTTTTTGTTAAAATCCTCTTGATGTTGAATTCTTATGCTTGTCATAGGTATCGGAGAGGTTATTTACTGATTCTGGTTCTCGACGGAGCACAAGACTTGCCTCTAGGGAAGACGTGGCCTACTTGAATTCAAGTGTGTCAACAATATCAGGGAATGGAACAAATCACTCATCAAAGTTTCTTGGAAGCTCTAAGTTGACCTCTGCATCCTCGCGGAAAGTCACAGGCCATAATGGACAATCTTGGGCGGATGAAAATTTTGATGAAGGTGATTATGTTTGTCCAAAAAGCTCCTGTTATTTAGCGTTTTCTGTAGGTGCAGATATTGAAATGAAACATATAAATGAAATTACATATCTGCCATGCATTCACTCCTAAGGAACTAGGATTTTACATCTCTATGAACATCCTTGCCTATTTTGGGTGGTTTGGCTGGTGGTAACTTGAAGATGTCAGGTGGAATTGCATAAATGTTGACTTTTGATTTCCATCTTAAAAAATCTAGTGAATAGTAGGGACTTTCATTCTTTCGATGTCATTAGCTTGCAATTTCATATTACAATTCATGCGCAACTGCAGTTTGAGATTAATTTTAAACTTCCCACAATATCTGATTAAGAAAATCCTCTCATGCAACATGTGAGCATACATTTTGTTTTCTAATTTGATTTTACCTTTTTTCTTGTTTTTGTTTTTTTACCTTTTTGTTTGGTTTAATTTTGTTTCTTCTTCAGTTAACAACTGTTTCCACTTTCTCGCCGATTGGTATTCCTCCCAGTAGTAGTTTTGTTTGTATCACAGTTTAGTTTGGTGATATGTCATCAGAACTGTTCATTAGGCATGATTGGTTAGTTTGAAAGGATGGAAGTTGGCTGGTTAAGTTTAGAAAACTCTTAAATTGAGGTGAACTTGTTTCTCAATTTGTTTTCAAGCTGCAACACTTAACGGATGATGTGAGAATGAGATGATTTATTCATTGACTGTTATTTATACTCGGCCTTCTCAGTAACTAATAAGTAGCTAAGCATAGTAGTAATTGGTATTTTCAGGGACTAAGCATGATGTCTACGATGATACTCATATCAGTAGTATTACCTCTTCATCCACCTCTAGTGAACCTCGATCTGTGGAACAGGAAGGGCCAACGGCGTCTGTAGGTGGGGTTTGTATAAATGCTTCAAGGATTTCAGCGGGTGCTTCAGAGTTGTTGGCACTCTTGCAGATTCTTGGAGAAGGTTATAGACTCTTCTGTGTTTATAGATGTCAGGTATGGAATCATCAGCTCGTTGAAATAAAACTCATGCAAGAGTTAATGGTCACAAGTAGATTTATGAGTGCTGTTGCTTGGACAGGATGCATTGGATGTCTATATGAAGCTTCCTCAAAAACAATATAATACAGGCTGGGTACTCTCACAGGTAACTTATATGGTTTTGGTTTCTTTTCTTTTCATTTTTTAACTTGTCAACGCTTAACTTTGCACAAACCAGTTAACTTGTCAACGCTTAACTTATTCTGTTGTTCCAATGTATTTATGCAGGTTGGAAAAGCGTACTTTGAATTGCTTGATTATGTTGAAGCAGACCATGCTTTTAGTCTTGCTCGCCTCGCCTCCCCTCATAGTTTAGAGGGAATGGACATCTACTCTACAGTTCTTTATGTAAGTGTTCTACTGTATTCAAGATCTCATAGTCAGATGATGTGGTGATATAAATCAATTTTGTCGCTGGATCTTTTTATTTGGCATGGATAGCCGCTAACTTGATAGCTTCCTAAACAGTTGTCTTTTTGCTGTTACCACTCACATATTTCTTTAAGTATGTTTTCCATTTTTTTCACAACAGCTCTTGTACCTTTAGATTCGAAGTTTTGATTGCTTAAAAGAGCATTGTTTCATTTGTTAATTTCAAATGCTTGTTATCTTTGTTTGAAACTAAATTACTTTTGGTTTTAATCTGAAAAAACAAGTTATTGTTCCCCATTTCTCTGAGAGTACTGAAATTTGTGGTGGATTAAGTTGCTGAAAAAGTGGGTGCTTAACTGTATCCTGGTTCCCATGTGTTACTGTTGACTGCTCTCATTTTTGAACTCGCTCTGATTGCTGTTTCCTTCCAACTTTATTTCAGCATCTGAAGGAGGATATGAAGTTGAGTTATCTCGCTCAAGAGCTAATATCAACCGACCGCTTGGCTCCGCAATCTTGGTATGTTGTCTAGTTAAATTATATGGCTTCTATACAATGTTCATGACTGATGTAGTGAAGAAAATTTAAATGATGCATTATCCGGTAGAATGCCGAACTAATTTCTCACCAAACAGAAAGTAAAAGATGCATTGTTCTTATGCATTATCCTGTACAGTTTATCGTGGTATGTCTTTGAATTTTGAGTTTAAACTGCTCAAAATAATTCAGTTCGCTGACTTTGTTTTGAAATCTCTGTTTATTAAACACGACCCTAGGCAATTTATTAGGTGCCCATAATCTCTTTCAAATGATATATTTTATAACTTTTCGTGCATACAGGTGTGCTCTGGGAAATTGCTATAGCTTACAAAAATGCCATGAGACAGCTCTGAAGAATTTCCAGCGAGCAGTGAAGCTAGATTCAAGATTTGCCTATGCTCATACTCTTTGCGGTCATGAGTATAGCTCATTTTCTTGTCTTTTAATATAAAAACTCGTTTGTGATCTGAGTTCCTGTCTTATTAACTATCCACAAGAGTAAGAAATATGCTCGCTTTCCTTCTGGCTCCATTGAGTTTCTTCTTTTTATGGACAGGTACGTGGCTATGGAGGATTTCGAGAATGGTATCAATAGTTACCAGTGTGCTCTTCGGCTTGATGCCAGACATTATAATGCCCGATATGGTCTTGGAATGATATACCTTCGCCAAGAGAATTTTTTTTTTGCTGCACATTACTTCAGAATGGCACTTGAAGTCAATCCTCGGTCTTCTGTCATAATGTCATACCTGGGAACAGCTTTACATGCCTTGGGGGTAAGAGCAACTATAAGTATGGTTTTCATTCATGTGATCATTCAACTTTTTCCACTGATGTCTTGCAGCAAAATGAGAAAGCTTTATATATTATGGAGGAAGCTATATGTGCTGATGGGAAAAATCCTCTCCCATTGTATCAAAAGGCAAAAATCCATTTGAGCATGGAGAAATACGAAGGAGCCCTCGAAGCACTGGAGAAGCTCAAGGATGATGTACCTCAGGAGAGCAGTGTCTATGCGTTAATGGGTAGGATATATAGAAGGCTCCATATGTGTGACAAGGCTATGCTTCATTATGGAATTGCATTGGACATGAAACCACCTGCAACAGATGTTGCTACAATTAAGGTGATAATGCTTACCTTACCTAAATTACCTTCCATGTGAAGGATGGCTTACATTTTGTCGGCCATGGAATTGACAGCTACCATGACAATTATACGAGTCGATTAAACTTGAGAGTTAATCCCTTGCTAACCTGTCCTTAAATTGTTTTTCGCAGGCGGCCATTGAGAGGTTGCGCGTTGCAGATGAGTTATCAGATGATTGACCATTTGCTAGTTTTAGCCTGTAATTCATTCCTTCTCAAATCATGACCTATTTACGGTCTAGCCTCCTAATACAAACTTAGATGGGTAGATCAACTTCAACTCCAACGTCCAAGACAAAACTCTCTAATGTACAGGGAAAATTGAGTTTTTCATAATATATTAGTTTCACAAATTCAATCGATCACAACGAAAATTGAAAGTTTCTAAATCATTTGGTCGGTTAAATTTTGTTAAGATGGCCAGAATTGAATTGACGCACTAATAAACACCTAACATCAAATTATTATCAAGACTTTACATGCACAAAATGTTGTTTGTTTTGTTTCACCTAAGCATGATTTGCGAAAAAAACCAAGCAATGACATTTGTAGTTTGGCGCCTTTGATGGTTCAGAACTCAGAAGTTCAAAAATCAAGTAGGAAAATACCCTCAAAAAAAAAAAAAATTAAAAGGTAGGAAAAGAACTTTAGGGATTAAAAGGTTTAATAGACCAATATACAAGGACTAAGACAGAATTTATTCAGAATACATACACTCTGAACTCGAAGTTTCAAGCTGCAGTAATGGCGGATTGAATTCCCTCCAAATTCACAAAATCCATCATTTTGTAAGACAACCCGACTGCCTTCGCCCTCCTGCTCAGCACTTCCACCGGCCGCTCCGCCGACCTCCACCACATTCTCTCGGACTCCTCGTAGGAACAAGTATTCATCAATCCCTTCATCTTTATATTCTCTCTCTCCTTTCTAAGAGAATTTTGAATTTTGTTGTCTAGGACTTTGTGTTTTTCCCTTTCGCCTTCTCCATCTCTGGATGCTTCTGTGTGTTCGTGCGTCTTTATGCTTTTTTTTTCTCCCCTGTTTGTTTCTGATTGTGTTAGAAGTCGATGTGCTGTTTAGGTGCTTGTTAAATTGTCCATTTTTCTCTGATAATTAGCCTGCGCGCATGGATTTGAGGAAATATGCTGTTGCTGTTTCATTTTTCCGGTAGTAATAAATGTTTATAAGGGTGTTAGTTGTGGATATGTGTCCATTTTTCAGTGAGCAAATTAATGTCTTAAATTGCTATTCCTTAAACTGTGCAAGATTATTCAGTGAGTTTCACCTGAATGTATCTCCCTTGAGAAATCTCAAAGCATCATGACATCATGTTAAGGATTTCTGTTATCCATACCAAGCATTGCTTGGATTGTGATGACAATGTCAATTAGGCTTTGGAGTCAACCTGTTGGTTTGCTTTATCTCTGCTTCTAGCTTTCAGTTTACTGCTTGGGTCTCGGCCACTCTAGACTTGTTTTATCAATTACACTTGCTTTAAATGTTGCCATATTTAATTATACTGATTATAATTGAATTAAATGCTAAAGATTTATCTCTGGCTTAGTAATTCGCATGGATAAAGTTAGTATTTTCTGGAAACTTTATGTACTTCTTCTGTGTACATGTTACAGCCGTGAGCAAATTACCTGGCTGTTTATCTCCTTCTAAATTGCCTGGAATCCTATTTATGGGTCATGGTTTGTGGGGTGTATTAGTTCTTTGGGCTGTGTATTAAAGGTGCTGCATCAATTACGTTTAATTTAACTCAATTCTACCTTGTGGAAAGGTGCTGCATAAGAATCTTGTCTTTCCGATCTCCCTAGTGCTCTTATTGTCAGTACAGATAAGGAGAAGAATTATATATTCTGAATTTGTTTACTTTGATCTTAAGGACCTCACTAAGACTTATAGGTGATTAGTTTGGAGTTCAATATTAATGTGTGCCCTGTTGAGATTGGCAAAGTTTTGGAGGTTGAGGACAATGCAAAAGAGCCGCAGGACAATTTAGTTTGAGTTACCATTTTACTTACGTAGTCTTCATTGCCTTCAGCTTTTAGCAGAGTTTGCCTTCTGAGACCATCGGTGCCACTGTGGGCTCATTTATTAGGCAAAGCCTTTGATTATTGATGCTTTTCGCTCAAAACTTTTTTTTTTTTTTACCAGATAAACTTTTTTAACTCTGAACACAATTTAAATGTAAACAGAGTTTGTCAGGAGAGTTTTATCTTACAAAAGATTGTGTACTTGCTTCGGATAATGTTAGTTTGGGTGTAGTATGTACCTGGTCAAGATTAAACACAACAAAAATTAGAAGTTAAGGGGGAAAAAATTATTAAAGGAAATTAAAATAAAAATTTTAGAAACAAAAAGAGCGTGTCTGGTTCTTGCGCTTAACTATCTTCTTTGTCCTCCTTCTATTATCGATATTTTATCTTCCTTTTGACTTAGAGTTCTGAGTTTGATTTCTCTAAATCACTCACTCCCTCACTCCACATGATACTTCTTCTTTGCTGTAAGCTCTTCCTGCACTGCAGGTTCTTAATTTGGATTTATCAAATTTCATATCTTTGGACATGATTTGGATTCAGTGTATTGTTTTGAGTGGTTAACTGAATCGAGATTTTATTGTGTTATAATTAGGTGATGGTTTGTTGCTTTTCTGTTTTGCTTTGACTCACTGTGCAAATGGTGAAGTTTAGAAATTCAATTTTCTATGGAGTTTGCAAATTTTCTTTTCAAGGATATCTATATTGTAGATTTTGAGCTCCGAGATATGAGATATTCAGGTTGTAAATGTTTGAAATTCATTCAAGCGATAAAACTTATGGGTGACTTGAGTTGGAGATGAGCTCGATGACTTTAGTTTTGGTGCCGGAAAAGGTTTTATTTTGTAGTTTGTACCACTGCTTTAATTCAAGCTGCAGAGCCCTCCTTGTTCATGAGGTGGGATTGATACTGAATTGAGGTTTTGTTGCTTGCGGTACTTCTTGGTCCAAATTTGTGTCCCTGTTAGAATGGTTTAAGATTGTGGTGAAACAATTTTGTGTGGGGTGGTCTTAAATGTATGCATTTAATACTACATTTGCTTGCTTTTATGCTTCTGCTGCTTATTTTACTTGCTTTCTTTCTGGTAATCTGCATCTGAAAATTGAATTTGCTGGTTTTTTTACCCTTATAGCCGTGAAAAAAAGTTTGGAGTCTTTGGGGTTCACTTGTAGCCTTGTTTACATTTTTGTTGTAGGTTTGAAAGCTTTCTATGATTGACAGATAGGATTTTTGAGTTCCTGTGTTATGCATGTGAATTGGTTTATTGGCTGTTATTGTGGCAGAGCGGTTCACATTCGTATGGATTTATAATGTTTCTTTTATATGAAGCTTGTTTCCTTGATTTAAAGGATACTAAATTGATTATCAAGTAGCCTCTGTGTTGTTAAGTTCATAAATTTCCCTTTCTGCTTCGTTCCCTCATGGTTATTCACATTGCTTTCTAAGGCTGGTTGATCTTTGTGTTTATTTTTGCACTGGATATAGTACTGATATGCAAATATTGTTGACACAGTGAACTTGGCGAAGCTGGTCAAGGTTATGAACCCTGTGGTACATTGTTACAGCGTGTGGTAGGATTGGGCCCTAAAGCCAAATCATACGAATCATTCAATAGGCTGATGTGATGTTGAGCTCGTAGATCTAAGATGTCCATTTTGTTTCTATAAGCCCAACCAAGGATTAACTATTAAGAACAGAAGGCAGGGTCTTTTGAATGGAACTGAATTCACGCTTTCTAGGACAAAGAAATGAAGTATCATTGAATACACATATTGAGTCATTGACTGATTGACACTGCAACGCCTCCTCTGGCTGGAACTGCAAACTGTTAGCGGCAACTCACTGAAACTGAGCAGCTATGGCATCCACTGCTATTTCCAACCATTTCACCTCTACTCGTCCAGCAAGGGAGGGCGAATTCCTTTCTCCGGGGTCGTCCTTTTCTCATTCTTGCCATTCCCTCCGATTTTCTGGTGCTTCTCCAGTTAGTTTACAGTCAATTCATCGACAAATCTCCTGCCAAACCAACTCATCCGCTGTTTCTTCCTGTTCATCCTCCGTCAATGGGAAAGGTCAATGTCCCCATTTTGATTCTCATCAGTATCTGAACTTAAGGTTATTTTTCATATTCTCAGTCTATTTTGAAATAGATTTTGTCAGTAATCGTGAATGAGGATAAAGTGATTTGATTTTTTAATTTTACTTTTATTTTTATTTTTTTCCCGTTCCCAGTTTGTACTCTCCAATCAATACAGGTTGTATGTGCCGATTTTGTGTATAAGATTATTTGTTTTTTTCCTGGACTGTTTTCAGCTTGCTTCATATTTAGTCATCTCCGATATGAGAATGTTGATATCCATGGATCCTAACGTCAATTAGGTTTATGCTTTGGGGAAGTCGGTTTCTGTTCAATTAAAACCCAATTGATGTCCCATGTGTGTTTTTTTTCGTTGAATTCCTTTCACTAACAATGTAAACTATTTGAAATTTCCAGCTAATGCAGGATTCAAGGATTTCCTACACATAAATGATTTTGATAAGGGCACAATTATGAGTATTTTGGATAGGGCTCAGGAGGTCAAGGCTCTGATAAAATCAGGGGAAAAAGTCTATCTCCCATTCAAAGGTAAAACAATGGTAATGATCTTTGCCAAGCCATCTATGAGGACAAGGGTTTCCTTTGAGATGGGTTTTAACTTGCTTGGTGGTCATGCTATAGACCTGGGACCTAATGATATCCAGATGGGTAAGCGAGAGGAGACCCGCGATGTTGCTCGCGTTTTGTCTCGATACAAGACATAATCATGGCTTGCGTGTTTGCTCATCAGGTATGCTGGTGAGACACTTCTCTGACTAGTTAAGCTTATTTATTCATCATTCTGGACTTTTTGATGTTTGAGAGTCAAAAATGTTTCTCTTCTTAGGCTAAATAAGTTCCCAATGACTATTCATCAAACTTCACTTACGTTTCTTATGCATGGTTAATTGGTCATCCTCTCTCTACTGAATGGTTGTTATAGATTATAGTACTAGTTTGAATTGATTTAGAAGGTGTCCTCAAGCATCAAAGAAGATTATGTTTTGTCCTTTCCTGCTCTCTTTTCTCCTGGCCTTTGAGGATTTTGTTACCTTGTAATAAATAGCAACTAACTTACCAAATCCTGATTAAAAAGAGGAGAATTGAAATCCATCAGTCGGAACTGATGGATTTTGTTTCACAAATTTTTTAACTTTTTAACTCCTTGAATCAGTTGTAATAGAAAATCATGAATTCTAAATCATTACATTGGAGATTGAGATGAGGTGTATTTTGCAGTCAATTTTTCATGCCCATACCTTCTAATCAAGTTTGTTGCATATGTTGTGCTCCACTTTGATTTTAGGGTATCCTTGATCTGGCTAAATATGCGAGTGTTCCATTATCAACGGCCTGACAGACTATAATCCCTGTCAAATTATGGCTGATGCCCTTACAATGATTGAACATATTGGTCGACTGGAAGGAACTAAGTAAGCTTCTTGAGAAGCTCTAGAAATGGTTCAGTTTGGCTGTAATTTATATTTTGTGAGAATAACCCTGGATGATTTGAAACTGTCAGGTTGTTTATGTTGGAGATGGAAACAACATTGTCCACTCTTGGCTGCTGTTGGCAGCAATCATCCCTTTTCATTTTGTCTGTGCCTGTCCAAAAGGTTTTGAGCCGGATGCTGAGACAGTTCGGAAAGCGCAACAAACTGGGCTGAGCAAGATCGAGATAACACATGATCCCAAAGAAGCTGTTAAAGGAGCTCACGTTGTGTATTCTGATGTTTGGGCTAGTATGGGTCAAAAGGAAGAAGCTGCTTATCTTCGCCAGGTGTTTCAAGGATTCCAGGTATGCAAACACCAATTAACTATTTTCATCTTTGGTTGCCTAAATTTCAACCAAATTATGATGCTGAAATGTACACATGCACTTACTATTATCATCATCTTGATGTGCAGTATAACATGATTGATTTTGGGGAAGAAAGGTTTGTGTCTCTGTTTAGGGTTTATGAGTGTGGGTGTGGGTGTTTGCAACTAGTAAAAGATTAAGACATGATAGCACAGGTTGTACACTGACTCATTAATTTGTTTACGTAAATGTAATTGCAGGTGGACGAAGCTCTTATGGAACTAACCGGACCACAAGCCTATTTCATGCATTGCTTACCCGCAGAAAGAGGTGTAGAGGTCACAGATGGTGTTATTGAAGCTGCAAACTCCATCGTTTTCCCGCAGGCTGAGAACCGGATGCATGCACAGAATGCAATTATGCCTCATGCGCTTGGTTTATGATTTCTCTTCCATTTCATTCCTAGTGACTTTATCAATCCTTCCTTTCTAAGGGAGAATTAGCCAAGTGACTTTTGGCTTTTGTATTTAGCATTTAGATTGAGGTGAACACAGTGAGAGTTTCTGGTTTGGTTCTTGGACGTTTCTCTATGTAGTCACAAACAGAATTTTTTTTAATTTTTTTTTTTGAGAAAGAGTCACAAACAGATGAAAATAGGTATTTTCTGTTTTAAAAAAAAAGTAAATAAATTTCCACCTTTGGGTATTTTGAAAGATAATTCTCTCAAACAATTGAATCCCTGTAACAGTTTTATTTTCATACTAATAGAGGTAAAGATATTTTATTCACTTATCAAATTGAAGGAATTGATTTTTATTTTATCTTTAATTAATGGACTAAATGTAACGTGGTTTTGTCCGTTGTGTAAAGATACGCGCAAATTATATGAGGCACCCGGTGCTCCCAAGTTAGAAAGCTCCTGGACGGGTGTGTCTAGCCTACAATTAAAACACGCATCCCCAAATTTTAAACAAACGGTTCCAATTCGACGCACATAACCCTTTTCCCCCATTTTTTTCTTCTCTCTTTTACAACCTAATTTTTGCAATTGAATGTGATTCGGCGATCCTCCGTCTTCAATTGAACATCATTCGGGGATTCTCTGTCTTCAATTTTTACGCACTTTTTGACGGCAATCTTTCTTTCTCCAGTTTGATTTAGTTTGAGTGACGGTGATTCTAAGGTAGTTCTTCATTTGCTGGATGTCTTTGATTTAGTTTGAATTGGAACTTCGCGAGCCATAGCATATAAATTGTTTCACAACTATGAGATTCATTGCGTTTCTTGTGTTTTTTTTTCGTGTGGTAGATGAGTTGTTCGGAAGGAATGTCTGATGTTCCTAATTCTGGTGTCATAGTCCCTTACTCAAGTGAAGAATCAGACGACGAATGCATCGTTGTTGTAGAAGAATCAGACGATGAACGCATCGTTGTTGCGGAAGAATTAAATGAAGTCGTTTCTATTGAAGGTGAACCACATTTTCTTTTATAACTAGATGAATTTCAATATTTAGAATATTTTTTATGTTTTTTTTTTTGTCTTCTATGAGCATTGTAGTTTCGTGAGATGAACATTTTGAGTTTTAGATGAACTGTAGTTCATGCAGAACTACTTTTGATGAATTATGTTTACTGCAATGAGCATTGTAGTTCTGTGAGATGATTATTATAATTACTGCAATGAGCATTGTAGTTTCACCAAATGAGCATCCCATATTTTTACATGAACTATATTAGACTTTCATTTTTCATGGATTAGTTGTGGACGATTTTTCCTTTTTTGTCTTTGTAGATGTAGATCTTCTTGGCCATGAGTTCAAATTGGTTGACGAGGCGTATATGTGTTATGAATCGTATGCTAGACAACTTGGTTTCAATATTAAGCACTTTAAGAATACGTACAGGGCAGGTGGCGACTTGAACGTGAAACAGTTTGCTTGCAATAAACAAGAGGGTACGAATAGTAGAGGAAAAGGGCTTCGCAACACGGTTACTACTCGTACAGGATGTGGTGCAATGCTGCAGATTAAGGTTGATGCGGAAGGCGTTTGGAAGGTTGTTGTGCACAAAGTTGATCATAACCACAAAATGATACCTAAGAATCAACGTCACTTTGATCGGTCGCATAGGCAGATGATCGATAATGATGTAGTGCTTCTAGCTGGGATGAAGGAGCACGGAATTGGCCTTACACACGAGTATAAGATGCTGCATAAGCAAGGGGATGGTTCTCCCAACCTTAATTACACCATCACGGATGCGAGAAACAAGGTGGCTGCACTTGAACGTGCGAGGTGGGAGGATGGTGATGCGAATAAGTTGCTCGATATTCTAAGAAAGAGGAAAGCAACTGAGCCTGACTTTTTCTTCGATTTCTTGCATGATGACTCTTGTAGGTTAAGTGTCATTTTCTGGAGAGATGCTAAGATGAAACATGATTATGAGGTGTTTGGGGATTTGGTGGTGCACGACACAACCTATAGGACAACGAGGTACAAACTTGTGTGCGCCTTTTACGGGAATGAACCATCACTACCAAAACATCATGTTTGGGATTGGTTTTTTGCTAAATGAAAAGTCCAAGTCATTTGAGTGGCTTTTCTCTAAGTTTTTGGAGTCAATGGGAGGTAAAGAGCCAGCCACTTTGATGACTGATCAGAGTACATCAATGGCGAGCGCCATTCCAGAAGTTTTTAAGGAAGCACGTCATCGCTTGGGCACATGGCACATAGGCGAAAATTCAAAGAATCACATTGGCTATTTGAGGGCAAATGAAGGGCTATTTGAGGGCACATTGGCAAAAACTCAAAGAATCACATTGGCTATTTGAGGGCAAATGAAGGGTTGATGGATTTGTTCTGTATGGTGTTGAGATGCACGGATACACAGGCTGAGTTTGATTACTACTGGAAGAAGTAAGTATCCTTTTTTGTGACTGTTTGGACAGAACATTGTTTTTTCTGAAATGAACATTGCAGTTTCGTAGAATCAGCATTGCAGTTTTATGCATCAGATACACTGTGACTGTTTTGACAGAAGTGCAAAAGTAGAGTTTCTGGCATGAACATTGTAGTTTCTTAGTATGATGATCATTCTGTTTGTTCTGTTTTTCTGATTGTGTGATGATTATGAATGTGATGATAATAAATGGTTGCGGAAGTTACATTCCAATAGGCTTAAATGGTGTCCAGTCCTGAACAAAGACCGGCTTTCTGGTGGTGCACTTTCTTCACAGAGGAGTGAGTCGACTAACAAGGCGATTTGTCAGGAACTCCCAAAATGTACGCGCTTGTGTACTTTCTATGATCACTTCGAGGAGGTGGTGAAGCGCTGGAGGAAGAAAGAGACCCATGAAAATTTCAGGTGTGATAACGGACGTGTAGAGATGAAGTTCAAAGATGTGACTTTTTACTTACGCTTGCACGTGAGTTCTACACGATTGAAGCCTACTTGTTATTTCAACAGCAATATAAATTTAGTCTTTCTTGTGAACATTCGATGATTCAACAAGTGAATGATGAGGTAGCATTATATTATGTCAAGCGTAATACTATAGATGTTTTCCAGCATCATGTTCATTATAATGTTCGGACACATGAGATTTGTTGTACTTGCAACATGTTTTCTGATACTGAATTTTTATGCGCTCATTGTTTACATGTTTACAATGTAAACAATGTAAATGCTGTTCCAGAATGTTATATTTTGGGTCGGTGGAGAAGGAACGCTAACAAGCAATCTAGTGCCGTTGCTTTAGTTAGTAATGGAGGGTCTGGGGTTGTAGGTTCTACAATTTGGAGGTCAAATGTTATCGGCAAGTTTATTAGGCTTGTTTCGGCAAGTGAGCCATCTCCAGCAGCTAAACAGCTTATCGAGGAAGGTCTGAGTGTGATGGCAAGAGTGGTTGAGGCTGAAGTTGGTGCTATACAGTCTAGAGGGGTAGAGGAAAAAGAAGAGGCTTCAGCATCAAATATGGTTGTTAAAGATTCTGAGCAACTGAGGCCAATTGGTGAGCTTAATGTAAGGTGGGTAAGTACTGTGGAGAAGAAAAGCAATCAAGCTTGGGGAATGAGGAAGAGAGCAGCGACCATGAGGACAAAGAAAGCCATTTACAGCAGGATGGCGTCTAGTGAACCCGAAGTTGTTGGCCGTTATGTGCATCCGGTCTGTCCTGATCAACCCTTGCAAGTTTCAATTTCAAGCTGCACCCAAAGCGAGGCGGGTACATTTCTGGAGTTCCTGTGAACAAACATTGCAGTTTTGCAGGATGAACCATGGTGGTTTCGAAATGAACAACATGCGTCTGGAAATGAATATTTTGTTTTTTATTTCAGTTTCTCAGGATGAACAATGTTAGGCTGGAAATGAACAATGACGGTTTCTAACATTTTTTTTTGAAAATACAGTTTTGTTTAATTGTAACTGTCCCTTAAACTTCTCCTAGAAGTTATTAAATGAAAAGACACATATACAATGAACATGGATCAATCTGAATTTCAAGTATTTATGTGCCTTTTAAATATTTCCCCTGAATTTCAAGTATTAAATGAGAAGACATATTTCAGAATTCCCTAATGTACATTCATTATCCACAGAAGAGGAATAGTCAGGGGCTGGGAGAAAATCAACAGCTTCATTCTCAGAATTTATCTATAAAAAACGACATCATCCTACCATTTCTACCACACTTGCAATTCCTATCTATTCTACCTTTCTGTTATTCAGCAAAAAAATGTCTTCTTCCATTGGATATCAAAGAATGCTTGAAAGGAACAATGGTATGACTTTTGCTTCTTTGTATTCTATCTTTTTTCAACTTAAACGTGATTGATTTCTAATGTTTGTGTTTTCGTGTAGCACGACTGCAAGCAAGGGTGGATCTGTTAAGGCTGATGATGGAAAGAACGTAGCAATTTTTGAGGGATTCCAGCAACATAAGGACGAGGAGGGCACGACTGAATGAGGATTTCCCCAACAGGTAGTACAATTTGTGCTTTTTCTATATTACTTTACTCCATGTGTTTATATTCAAGTACAAACGAAGGAGTTTTGAACTACTTATATTCAAGTTGTTGATCTTTGTATAATCAAGGTGATCTGGTAAGCCGGGCTTATTTACGTCAATTGCGTAGGGATGAAAGGAGGTTCCTGGTACGCGACCTCGATTTCTTAGCGATTGATATTGCTAACTAAGGAAATTCGTACCAAGAATTGGTTCGTATGCATGCTGCCCAAGACTGCTGGTCTCGCGCAAGATGCTTCTGCACCCTTACCTCCCCAGAACCCGCCCCCCTAGAACCCTTGAATTTTTTTTTCATGTTATAAGACAGATTCATGAACATTTTTAAAAATTTTTGGTCTGTAAACAATATTTTATTATTGATGTTATTTTTTTTTCCTTATTGAACAATTTATTTTATGAATATTTGTCATTGGTTTGTAAA